TAAGATGACTTCACTTTTCTCTGGTGTCCTCTAGAAGAACTGTGTCCTCAGCCCTCACGAATGGAGTGCTATTATACAAATGTCTTGCATGTAGCCTTTTATTGCCACGTGTGTCTTAGACGTCTTTCCATTCCAGCACATGAAGGGCCATTGCTTTGTCTCTTATGAGGATGGCATCATGTTATTCATTCAGCTTGTTAGCCTCAGCTTTATCTTCCAGTGTTTGCTCCAGCAATGGTTCCCAAAGCTGATACATGGCGGTTCAGTATTGCTCCTCCTGTGTGAAGGCTCCCTGGTGTTACCCCTTTCCCCGGCTTCCTAAAGGACCCTGGGCATAGCTTCGGCCACACTGCTTGCTACTGGTACGCTGTGCTTTGTGTCTCTGTGAGCTGGCATTAGATAGTGAGGTACACCCACAGATGTCTATTGTCCTTTCCTCTGCTGCCCATGTTCAGGTGAACTCTTGGCTGTCTTCTGACTATATCACAGACACATAGAGTTGTTCTGTCTGCCCCAGAGTAGCCTAGGGACCCCATGCTTGCCACCTGCCTTCATCTTCACAGGAGCTCCACTGCTCAAAATGAAAACCTGGAAGCATCTTTGGCCTTTTCTCCTCTCTTTTATTTTTTTCCTCTCCCTTTCTCCTCCTCTCTTCCATCTTACTCTCTTTTCAAAGTTACAAGGTCCTTCTTTATTTCCTTCTTTCCCTTCTCCTCTCCCATTCCCCCTCCTTTTCCCCTTTAACTTCCCCCTTCTCTCCCTCCCCTCTCCTCCTTTCTCCCCTTCTCACCCCTACTCAATCCTTTCTCTTCCTTCCCTGCCCCACCTCCCCTGTCCTCCCCTCCCCCTTTTTCTCTGCAGTCTCTTGCTCCTGAAACTCACTTCAGAGCACATCTGTCTCTTCTCACCACAGCTGCTGGGACTCCCCTGAGTCTCACACATCCACCTTGCTGGGCTGGCTCCTTCTCAGGCTTCTCTGCACCCTGCTTCCATTTCAGTCAGTCTTTTACCACCCCTCAGAGCCGTGAGAGACCTCTCTAAGTAACAGCACTCTCCCCATGCGAGGCTTTGCTTTAATGTATCACTTATGACTCACAAGTGTGCCTACACATGGTGTGTGCTTGTATATGTGGCCAGATAGGTATGCACAGACACTGAGACTGCAAAGGTCTAGCAGGTCTGTCCTACAGTCGCACGGGGCAGCTGATTGTCATCTACAAAGTTTACACTTATGCAGTTTAATTGGGCAAAAAATAAAATCGAGAAAGAAAATCTTGTAGTGTTTGTAGTAAGTGTGGTTTTGTGTTGCGCTGCTATGGCTGTCCTGTGGCACACACAGCTTTTGAGCTTCGGATATGCTGGGAAAGGGGCTAAGTGATGCTCCCAACTCTGTATTCTCCTCACAAACTCGGTTACTTTAGTGGACCCCTTTATTTAATAAGCCGTGATCACATATGGTCCCTTTATATAGAGATATGCGTACACCTGATGAAAGGGCTCAAAGAGATCATGCCTTCATATTTTCTGCATAAGCTTGGCTTTTGGGGATGATCTATCTTTTGTGGCGGGATCCATGTTCATATGAAGGAGTGAATTAGACGCTATTGGGATTGCCTACTAGGAAATGAGACATCTTACTTAATACTTCATTGTGTTTGCTTCTTGGGACAAGCAAGTGAATTTTGTTGATTACTAGAAGGGTCATGGGCAGACATTGGGTTCCCATGCTGTGCAGGATTCCTAAGAGCAAGGACTTCTTGCCCATCTCTGCTCCAGACACACCGACCTGTATCTCAGCAGAAGTCCAAGTACAGGTGAGAATTGGAAGGTGGAGCTAACATATACACTGTTGGTATCTGCAGAAGGGACATGGAGACATGGCAGGGCTCACTGGGACACATATGGAGAGGGCTGAGCACACACAGGCTGTACTGTCTCATCACTGGCTCATGCTGCTGGGCAGGTAGTGCTGTATTCTCTGGGGTCACAGTCCTTGCCTATGGACCACATGGAAGAATATGCATGGCAGATAGCCAAAGGAGAGGCACATGCACTTAAAAAACATCAAAATTTATCATTCTTCGTGTATTCTCTTTGCTAAATCAGTAAGCAAATGAGAAATAACTTAAGACACTTTTACCAGTATTAATAGTGTCAACCCACAACTTACCTTAAAATTGCAAATGAGGGGCTGGAGAGAACATACAGTAGTTAGAAGTGACTCCTGCTCTTGGAGAGGACCAGAGTTCTGTTCTCAGCACCAGCATTGGACAGCTCCCAACTGCCTCAAACTCTAGCTACGGGGAACCTAAAAACTTACTGTAGTTTCCGTATATACCTGCAAGCACATATGCATACACACAGACAGGCATATATGTACCTATCCATAAATAACAAAATACATTTAATATGATTCATCACTGTAGAAGGCATCCTGTATGCAACATGTAGATTTATGTTCTTAACGAGCCCGTGTTAGTTACACATAGTAACAGGCCTCATTGTGACCTCTCCACACATGTGTATAATGCATTATGATCATATTTACCCTGTTTTCCTTTCTTGTTTTCTCTCACTCCCACCAGACCCCTCCTCCCAGATCTCCCTTCAATTTCCATGTCTTATGTGTGCCCATCTTCCAGAGCAAATGCAAACAGGCTTTGTGACCATGAGCTTTGGGAATGAGGGTGTCAGTGGACATTTTTGGCCTGAAAGGCTGAAGGGTGAGGATACTGAGCTCCTAGCTCAGAGCCCAGGCAGAGAGTTTTGCAGCTGGCAGGCCTTTGCAAAGCTCTTCTTGAGGTAGCTCAAAAAGGCTTTTAGCACCCGTGTGGCTGAGCAGCCATGTTGCTTTCTTGCTAGCAATTGCATTGCTATTTCTCGGCTCTTCTTATATAGGAACACCAGCAGAAAGGTGGATCTCAAGAAGGAATGTGTTGCCTTTTGTCTGAAGAGTCAGAAGTTATTGCCAAGTGAAGGCAAGAACAGACCCGTAGCCTAGTGGTGGCGATTTCTGAAGTAACCATAGTGAAGCTGTTCAAGGCTAGCTTGCATGCAGGTGAGAGGCTTAGGAGGAGGGGTTAGGGCTCTGCTGGGGAAACAGTGCTGAAAGCGTCAGTCTTGAGCAATCTGCTCATGAGTGTTGCAAGAAAAATGAGCATTTGCATGCAGTGTGGGCAAAACCTGATGTTCTGGTGTAATGGAAGAGAGAGGGATATAACAAAGAGACACAAGTCTGTCTGCCAGGATGCATCTTCCATCCTGTCATGTGGCTGCACTACAAGCCCTCATCGAAGGGACCAGGAAGCTTTTTCAGGTAGGAGCAGGAAATGGTCACTGGTGGTCTGTGCTCCGTGACCACAAACTCATCAGAAAAAAACAAGAGTTCAGACAAGAGTGTTGCAATTCTGGTGAGCAATAGATTTAGAAATTCTGGTGCAGTCTTAACTTAGTTTTACCTTATATTTCTGTATCTTCCAGGAGTTTGTGCTTTTCTTTCCCCCCTCCATTCCTTTGCTTTCTTCCTTCCTCCCTCTCTCCATTCCTTCGTCCTTCCCTGCTTCCTTCTTCGCCATTTAAACTAACAGTTTCCCAGATCTGTCATTCACAAAGCTTGAAAGTCACCACCTTCTAGTCCCCATGCAGGAGTTTTGAGCATGTTTATAGATGATTTTGTGACAGTCACCATTACCTGATTCCAGAATGTTTTCAGTAACCCGTGTCTATGTCATGAGTCTCAGCAAACCAGGCATTATCTTTCTCTCTCCATAGATTTGCCTATCGAGACATTTTGCATATGAATGGTTTCATATAACGAAGAGCTTCTGTGCTCTCCACTCTTTAGCATAGCACAGTGTGTTCAAGAATGATCTTCTGGCTGGGGAAATGGCTCAGTGAGTAAAATGCTTGCTGAAGACCCAAGTTCAATCCCACAGAGCACATGTGAAAACTCAAGCATGGCTCTGGCAACCCCAGTGCTGGGAGGCAGAGACAGAAGGACCTTCAAACTTATTGGACCCTAACTAAGGTAAATGGTGAACATCTGGTTAAGTGAGAGACCCTTTAAGTGTGTTTTTAAAAAAAAGGCATGATAGTAATTTAAGACAGACTTCCCAGTATCATCCTCTGGTCTTCATACTTAACCTGCGTAAGTGAACATACCTACAAACAGACACACACACACACACACACACACACACATGCACATGCACACACGAAGACACACAATCATTTCTGTGTTAGTGTGAATCAGCACTGTATTTCCTTTCAGTGCACCAGTTAGTGGACATATGTGTTTCTTTCACATGTAGCCTAGTGTGGATGATGCCACTTTGATCGTGTGTTTGCAGGACTTAGTGTGTAGCTGCATTTCATTTATCTCAGGCATTTCTTGGGTCGTAGACTAGCCTTCACTTTAATCAAGAGCTGCACAGTATTTCCCAAGCAGGCTTCACTGCTTTGCACCCCACTGGCCCTGTAGATTTCTCTACATCCCATTTAAAACATTTAATATAATTACTAATGGAGAATCTGTGCTCACCCTCATTCTGTTTCCCAGGGCTCTTATTTCTCCTAATTCCATTTTGCTCATTATGCATTCCTGAGTTGTGGTTTTTGGTGTTGCTTTTCTTGATGGAAAGAGACTTTCCATTGAGTGCCTACGGAGACCAACACTACCCATATCCCTGGAGGAATCCCACTGGGAAAGACAGAGCTGGGTGGTCCAGGCTTGGAGGATGGTCCTTGATGATGGATTGATCTGTTAAGTTCTTGGTGGGATTTTCTTTTGTTGCCTAGTGAACCCTCATTACTTCTCTGGCAAACTGTGCTGTTACACTGATGCTTAATGTGAAAGGGGTTCAGACAGCTGTTTACCCAGCATTCCCTTGGGCTTGGAGATAGGCAGATCAGTGTCAACATCTCAGTTTTTCTCAGCATCCTGATCATGCCATCCTCCTGCTATTCTTTTGCTGACCACTCTCTGTTCTCTTGCTTCCTAGGAACTTTGTGCTCTGCTGAGTCTGGTGTACCCAGGGCTCCTGTTCTCAGTTGGATAGACCCCTAGTACAGAGACCTCTTTCTTCTACCTATGGGAAGAAGCATCTGAATGCTTATAAGCACAGCAGGACCCCAAGACCTGACTGGAAGATACCACCTCTCCTCGCCTCTGCCCTTCCCACAGGTAATTTTGGCCTCCCGAGAGGAAGGCTTAGAGACCTTCCCTTATTTCCTTCTCACTACCAAAGTCTCAGGCCAAGGACAGTTGGATTGCCTGAATAGAATTTTCTACCCTAAACCATGGCATGTAGGTAAATTCCTTGCAGGGCTCTCCTGGATGAATTTTAAGGAGTGTTGAAGATACAGACTATTAAATTTATGCTTTGTAACAGATCTCTCTTTGATTGCTTATTTTCCCTGTGCTGATGTCGCCACTCTCATGCTGGATCTTAGTGACAGGTTCATGAGGCTGTTGTCACTTATGTGGCCCCTCTGGGGGTCTCCTGTGTTCGTGTGCCCAGTGCTCTTGTATCTCAGAACTTGCCATAACCACAGCAGTACCAGGACTGGTTCTTGCTGTCTCTCAGGAGGAGATATGAGGACAGGGTAGGGGCAGCCATGGGAAGACACCATGTACAGCTGACGACGTGATTTGGTGAGAAAATAATGTAGGGAAAGCTTTCTAGATACACATAAAGCAGTTTTTACAGGTGGCCAGGGAGGGCTTTAAAACCAGTGGGATTTGAACCCAGACTTCAAGGAACTACAAGCATTAGTCACGTAGCACCATGGCAAAAAGCATTGTTGAGGAAACCTGAGGTCACTGAAGCCTGAAAGCAGTGAATTCTGGGAGCTTGCAGGAGCTCTGTGGAGAACAGGGTGTCATGAAGGGAGGCTATGAAAGCCAGAGTCAGAATGGGTTCAGCCACTGCAGGAATCCGGGTTGTTTGTCACGACAGCTATTGCCTCATGGGAAACCTGTGCAGTTTTGTTTAAGTAGAGGAGGAAGGGAGTCTGTGTTCCACCTGAGTAGACTGATTTTGGTGGCTGTGATGGGAGTGGACACAAAAGGTGAAGGTAGAGGTAGAATCTAGGAGGTTGTCCCTGAGACCACTAGAAGAAATCACACAGGGGCAGTGTGGCAGGCAGGCACAGAAGAAATAGAGGAAAGTGGATACTCACTGAGTGTATCTTAAAGTAAAGACAGATTCCATAAGATATGTTAAGAAAAACCAAAGTGCTTAAAAAGGCCAGAAAGGGAAAGGACCGGCTGGAGAAGGTTTAGACTCAGGAAGGGGCTACAGAGTTCCTTTGTAGAGTCTGTGATGGTTATGGAACACCCAAGTGGGACGCTGAACTGGCACTGTCCCCAGAGCCTGTGTTAAGAGGCTGATACACACTGGGATAGCATGAATAGCATTCTGACCAGTAGCTGCTGCTTGAAGTAATGATAGGAGATGCTCAGTGAGGGAAAAATATAGAAGTTGTGCTGTGGAACCTTCTAGCATCACGAAGAGTGTGTGTTTAGAGGGTTGGCCAGTAAAGGAGACCTAGAGAGGACATCCAGGAAGTAAGAGGCTGGGCACTCGAGGACATTTTCAGGAGTTTCCAAGGAGTTGTGTCCAGGTGCTTGTGGGCTGGGTGAGGAGCTATGGATGCTGGGATATGAGCCATCTGGGTCACTGGTGGTGTTCGTGGGGCGGTTTGGTCTGGTGGCTGTGATGGTGCTGGCAGGAGTGATGGAGGCAATTGGGAACTTCTGTGAGCAACTTTACTGCAGGAAGAGCATACTTTGTGGTGCAAAGGTCGGAAGAGTTATTTATTTTTAGTTGGTAACAGTTTCCATTGTCCGTGTGCCAGTGTGAGTGACCGAGTCTAATGACATCATGTGCATCCAGCTCGGAGGCTGCTGCAGCCACTCTTGTCTCTGGCTTAGGAGGTACCCGGGCTTATCATGGCTGTGTGCCTATGACATGGTAATGGGACAAACCAAAAATCTACCAGCCTGCCGCTGTGTTTCTTTGTAATCTAAGAGAATAGTTCACCTGCTCTGATGGTTAACGTTGACTGTTAACTTGACCAGATCTAGAGTCACCTGTGGGGGAGCTATTAGGTTGGGTTCATCGAGACAGGCAAGCTTACCCTAAATGCTGGATGGTGTCATTCCAAAGGCTGAGGCCTTAAACTGTGGTCTTAAAAAGGAGAAAGCTGATTGGACACCAGCATTCAGCCCTTCTGCTTCCAGACTGCAAACGCAATGTGACCGACTGCCTCCTGTTCCTGCTCCAGTGAGCTGGACTAACCCTACATTGGCCCAACTGGGGAGTTGGAGGCACACTGTAGGCCATGAATTGAGTCTCTGCTTGGCTAGACAGAGAGGGACAAAAATTAGAGACATCAAGGCTGCTGGTATGCAGGAGAGATGAGGCGTCTACTCACAGTGGGGTCTGAGACCCTGCAGTGAGATCAGAAGAACCAAGGCTGCTGGGGCCTGAGGAGAGGTCCATACCCTGGGAATCAGGGACTTAGAGGAGGTCAGTGTTGGCACCAGTGGCCCTCTGAGTGATGAGGGAACTGGGACTCTTGGGATGTTTGTCGTCTATGGCACCTTCTCTGAGCCCCAGGAACTCAGGCATTCTCCTTCCGTGCATTTTCTTTGTCTGTTTTTTTGTTTGTTTGTTTGTTTTTAAATGGTCTGCTTGGGGCATCTTCCTGTGTCCACCCTCCACACACTCCTGTGACCAGCTCACTCTTTTAAGGACAGTGGTACTGATGTGTCGTTGTTGCCATTCTGTGTCCAGTCCCATGGTCAGGTGCATGGTGGCATCAAAGGTGACTTTTTACGTGATAATCCTGTTGCTCATCTCTTCCTCGGAATATAGAGGGTTGTAAGCTTTTATCTTCTCACTAACGTTGTAGAATCCTTGCGGCCCTGTCTGTGAGGAACTCACTGATGTAGAAGCAGACTCTCCCAGCTGTGGGGATAACCATCAGGGAGCAGACCAGAAACCTTTCCAAGGCTGAGAGAATTCTGCATTCTGTCCAGCATCCGCCCACACCCACCTCCTAGGACATTTGCTTAGGAATCTGTGTCAGATTCCAAAAAGTATGAAATAGCTTCATATTAAAAAAAAAGATACAGGAAAAAATCAGGCTACAGAGGCCAAAATACCAGAAAATGACATTCTGGCCCAAGCAAAGATGATTTGTAAATGTTTAGGGTTGAAATAACTTGATTCAGATGCCTCTAGATTCCCTCAGGAAATGTATAGATTTATTTATTTTTTTTGTTCTAATTGATTTCCTATTCCTCAAAAATAGCCTTCTTTTTAAAAATGGGATGGGGGAAATCTGACTGAGAAAGTTTGACTGGACCTTGACCCTTTCTTGGCCTTGGGAACAGCTGGAATTCAGAGAACCACTTCTGGTTACCGTAGCTCTCTGCTGCGATGCAGTAGGCTTCATAGCCTGGAGGGCCAAGGCAGCTTGAGGACCTTAGCTAGCAAGGTAGGTCTCAGTGCTCTGCTTCCGTGGGCTCAGGGCCATTGACCTGGAGAAACAATATCACTTTATTTTTTGAGGCAGGGTCTCTCATTAATTCGAAGCTTCATGTTCCAGCTAGGATGGCTGGCCAGTGAGCTCCTGAGATCTGTCTGTTTCTACTTCCTAACACTGGAGTTATAGACATACCGTGCCCCAGCTTTTCATGGGCACTGGGGAGTTGAACTTACCAGGTGTTCAGACCAAGTGCTCTTCTTGTGCACTGAGTCAACTCTCCAGTCTTCTTGTGGTTCTTTTTTTTGTTTTATTGGTTTTTCGAGACAAGGTTGCTCTGTGTAGTCCTGGCTGTCCTGGAACTCACTCTGTAGACCAGGCTGGCCTCGAACTCAGAAATCTGCCTGCCTCTGCCTGCCAAGTGCTGGGATTAAAGGCTTGCGCCACCACCGCCCGGCTCCTGTGGTTCTTTATGTAACAATTTCAGGAACTTTGTGAGACATGTCTACAGATATGCATAGGATAGTGATGGTACATTTGGACAGGTTCATTGGAAGCTGTGAGCTTTTATCCTGGGAGTAACCTGAAGAGCAAGAGAAGACCCAGAAGGAGAAGCTGGGACATGTGCTTGAACAAAGATTAATGTGTCCTTCCTCTGATTTTAAAACAATAGTTGTTTGAATCATTCCCTCAAGGCCAACAGTGGAGTTTCATAGACACACTTTCACATTTACAGGAGTACCACTCAGCCAGCTCCCATATTCAGTGCATAAGTAACTCCCCACTTTAGTTCCATTTACTATTGGTGCATTAAATATAAATGAGAAAGCCATTAGTATCTTGGCCTTGTCGGATGCTTTAGAGTGGATAGCATAATCCAGTCATCACAACCTCACTTCAGTCCTGACTTCATTGGTTACAGTAATCATTGTGTGAGTGTGCCTTAACCTGTATTTCTCAATGTTTTAGAACCTCTCTCTCCTGAATGCATATTATACACATAGAGTATATAACAAAAATGAAACATTTCTGTTCAAACACTAGGTGGGGCTGCTTCTGATAGAGCACAGGTATAATTGGCAGGTTTGAACATAATCTCTTCCCATTTCTATCATTCCAGCAATGATCAAAACAGCCAGCCAGTCCTCACCAGCATACAATTATAGAATTCTTATAATAAAATTACAATCTTAGGCTGGTCCCTCCCCCGCCCCCCGGGCCCTCAACTTCTTTCTATGTATATGGACCCAAAACAGTGTGTGTTTAAGAGACAGGTTATGGATAAAATTGAGTTATTTATGTAATTCTCATGTGTCCTTTTGATATGGTCTAGCTTTCTTTCTGTTGCTATGACAAAACACTCTAACCAAAAGCAGCTTAAGGGAAGAAAGGGGTTATTTGAGCTTGCAGGTCACAGTATGTCACTGAGAGAAGTCAGGGCAGGAACTTAAGCAGGGTCTTGAGGAGAACCATGCCACTCCTGGCTTTTGGTGTAAATTCTGGTGTCTGAACTGGGGTCCAAGGCTCTCACCACTGAACCGTCTCCCCAGCCTGTGGTCCAGTTCCTAGTAGCTGTAGTTACAACCCAGATGCTCTCCTGTCAAAGACATGGAGGTTATTGTCAGTCTTGGCTATTGCAAGCTTGATGCTATTAATATTCTTACATGTCTCTCTTGCTCACAAGTGCAT